TACGGTATTGAAACTCTGTGTTTCTCGGACGGTGTTTGTACACTGCGCCACAATACTGTCAACCTTGTAGTATTTGGACACATGTTACGGTATTGAGACTCTGTGTTTCTCGGACGGTGTTTGTACACTGCACCGTGCTCGTTTCCTTCTAAGATTGCTGTTTGTTTTATTTGAAATAGCTTTCTGACTTTCAGCAATATTTTTTATGTATTTGAGATAAAAAAAAAAAAAATCAAGCACAAACGAAGTTCTAAAATTCGGTACATGCCCCCCAATAAAATCTAAATTCAGAGATAATCACCAGAAAGATTAGAAAAAGGATAAAAAAATGGGTTCCTGCGATAATACATTGTATTGTTCTTGAAATCGCCAACATCTTCCCATTGTAGACTAACCAATTATGGGCAAGGGCAAACCATTCTGTGCTTGATTACAACGTAATTTCTTCCTCGTCAAAGATAAAACTTCACAAATAGGCCTATAGCAATCTGGTGGTGTGTCCTTTAGGTTTTTTTCGAAAGTTACGCTAAAGTTGTCGCTCAAGTGAAAATATACGCATTTGAGGCAAAAAGGTAATGCTTTGGGAACATTTCTTTTAGCGCACCGTCGTCTGATGGTGGGCTATTCAAATAAGCCTTCGTCCGTGGTCCGTCCTCCGTCCTCCGTCCTCGGTCACACTTGCAGGTCGGTGATCGAGAAAAAGGATACATCTGCTGTTAACCACAGCATGTATCGTAAGAGGCGACTAATGTGGGAACCCCCTGCAGAATTGGAGATTTGCTTTTGTGCCCTCTATTTGGGGACACAAAGGCGATCGAAATAAATCTGCTGCACCCATTGCAATTCATGTATTTTGGATATTTACATTTCTTTCTACTTCTAACTATCTTTTATTTCCTAGCGCCTTGCTTGGCAATACCTCACTTTTGGCTTTGATTTTGAGCGTTCGCCCAGGTGTGGAAGGCAATGGGTTCCGTCCCAAGGCCGACACATACCAAAGTCCTTAAAAATAAATGTTGTTATTCTTGTTGTAGCTATTTCTTAAAAATAATGGAGGAATCTTTCTCAAATTTGATATGAAAGTTCCCATTGGTCCCTAGTTATTATTGAGGTTGATCGGATAAACAAAATGGCCGACAGAGGGCCATATTGGATTTTGACAGTGAATGTATATTATCGCTATTTCTAAGAACGTACTAAAAGGATCTTTCTCAAGTTTAATATGTAGCTATAAGTTCCCCTCGGTCCGTAGTTGGGCATGTTTAATTTGAGACTGATTGGATAAACAAAATGGCCGACAGGCGGCCATCTTGGATTTTGACCATGAAAGTTTGATATCACTATTTCTCAGGAAGAACTGGAAAGATTCTTCTTAATTCCTTTTAATTGTGTCGAAGAGCGTGTGAGCGTTACTCCTGGAGTATCGAGGATGACCATGGGGCAACTGATTCCAAAGTATAATCGTAGAAGGGAAGAAAGATATGTTAGGTGATTCCAGTCTATTGTTGGGAAAGTGGTAGAGATTAAATGATGTTTTAGGTAATCTGCAATTAAGTGAGTATGGAAGGTGTTGAGATCATTAGGGGTAAGTTTTGTGGTTAATCTTATAGAAAGGTTGAAGTGTTCGAAGGAGTCTACGTTAAGGTAGAAATTCCAATACCGTTTTGAATGTAAAGATTATCTGTAAGTATAGGAAGGAATGCTGTTTCATTATTTAAGTTAATTTCAATATCAGGAATAAGTACGTGAAAGTCCGTGTTTTGCACGATTAAATTCACTAACCACCTGTCAGCCCACAGTTGTATATTTTGAGATCATCATCTATTTTATGTTCAATCACATATGAAAATTATTCAGAAGACTGAAAAGAAGTACACAATATTTAGTCTGAAAAGACTTTCTCCATTGCCTATTATATTCTTGACATAAGTATTAAACGGCATCTTCTCAGTGTTCATCCCGGTACACAAATCGATTACATACATGCAATGAAGCCCTAGCGGCCTAGTCAATTCTATACGCGTGAAGCGGAACTGGCCTGGGTCGGGCGTTGACGACCAGGTAGCTCAGTTGGTATAGTGTGTCCGTCTAGAGTTCGGGGGTCCCAGATTCGAACCTTTGTCTGGCCTTGCATTTTCCCGCTCCTGTTACACGTATTACTTACTTAAATATAGATTTTCCCTCGTAGTTTCGATGTTAGTGCAAATGATATTCCTACAACAGATTAACGTCGCCAACAGGTTTGCTTCTAACGGTTGCCTCTTGTTATTCGTGGCGGAGGACAAGCTTCAAAGTCACCTGATCAAATTGCGTTCATAGCCCTATGAACGAAATTGTAGTGAAATGTAAATATATGTGTATACATATTATACAATATGGGACAAAGAAGAAATTCCAACAGTGTCTTTATGTGATAGTGCATATTGCGCAAGAACAGGTCCTCTACATCAGCGTTCCTTGTCCGCGTCGTTCTCAGCTTAATTGCTGCCTTCGGCTGTCTTTAGTGATACGTGTAAGTAACATAGAACTTTTATGTCATCATTGTGGCTATTTCTACACAGATTTTGTATCATGTGATTCTGCATTGTTCTGTAACAGAAAATCTTCGAGACAATTTATGGTGTATAATTGCCTGCATTTCAAGTATTGAACTCAGTTCATATCTGCATTCACTGCCTGATTATTCAGTTATTCACACTTTACTAGGAGGCCCAATGACCTATAATTTAAATGACAATTTTTAGAGGAATTTAGACTAGAATCCGTATATGCGATAAAAAGAATGTTTGACTTATATACGTGATAATAATTATCACAATAATGTCTTACAAATACTTGTCTTTTTAATATAAGAAAAATGTAAAAAAAAAAAAAAAAAAGGGACACATCCCTGGTAATATTAATATTATTATAATATTATTATTTTTTTTTTATTTTTTTTTACTGGCTACATAAACCAGTATTATATCACTGATATTTAATAATATGTATATACGTTTATGAACTTGTATGAACGTCACGATTGTTGTCATTTTGTAAATAATGTATTATTCATGTACTATCATTGTATCATGCTCTCCAATTTGGAGGAAATAAAGATGATATAGTGCATCTTGCGCAAGAACAGGTCCTCTACATCAGCGTTCCTTGTCCGCGATGTTCTCAGCTTAATTGCTGCCTTCGGCTGTCTTTAGCCGAGGAGACTATTGTTTTGTTTTTTTATATAATAGCTATATTTTCAATTATAGAATAGCAGGTCCATCTTCTTGTAATATGATGTATATATGTTCATGTAACTGTAAAAGGCTAAAAGGCCTCGTGCTACAAAAGATCAACAATCCACAAAGGCCTCGTGCTACAATAGCTCAACAATCCACAAAGGCCTCGTGCTACAATCGCTTAACAATCCACAAAGGCCTCGTGCTACAATCGCTCAACAATCCACAAATGCCTCGTGCTACAATAGCTCAACAATCCACAAAGGCCTCGTGCTACAATAGCTCAACAATGCACAAAGTGATAACAAAAATATCATTTATTATTTCCATAAATAAGGTAGAAACAATTAGAAAATATACTTTATATTACAACAATTATAAAACAAGCTATTTCAACTTATATTAATCACTCTTGCTAGCCCGGATGTTAGCGCGCGGGGGTATTTATGCGGAAGGAAACCGGAGTACCCGGAGAAACCCCATATTGGTTAAAGGCGGGTGCGTTATCCACTGCGCCACCCGACCACCAAACAAACACTTTATATCTTATCAAGAATAACATTTAATAAACACATTTCGTACGTAAATATATATATGTAAAATATATTAGTATACTGGTACATGTAACCTTGTTCCTGAGATAACAGCGGAACCAGATCCTTTGGACGCTTTGAGTTCTAACAATAATAGAGATTAGTTTCTTGATTTCTCTGGAGTGATACTTCAACCTATGTCATCAAAATAAGATCACAGTAAAACCTGCGGAGAATCAAGACATCTTGGGAGTACCTGGGTTCCGCTCACGGTAAACCTTGGGAGTACCTGGGTTCCGCAAACGGTAAACCTTGGGAGTACCTGGATTCCGCTCACGGTAAACCAATGGCAATGTTATGGAATGTCGAGTAAACGGAATCACTCGGGATCCATACCGTCAACGACCTATATAGCATAACAGGCAACAAAATAACAAAAAATCAATGTAAACAGGTTTTCTGAAATGTCGGGCTACAGATTCATAATAACCTGGTTTCATTTTTAACAGGAGTTTTGTTGGGAGTATCTGGAACAATAACAACAGGGTTCCATCTTAACTACCCGATGGTCCTTGTCAACGGAAGTTAATTTGCATTCCTCTAAACCTTTCCTTGGTACGCATGCGTCGTTTGTCCACAGGTACAGTAGGGGACAGTTTCACCGTTCAAAACCCGTCCGTAGTACCAAGCACAGGATAAAGACTCATAAAGGTTGACCACAGTGACATCATCAGCAACTCGTGATCGACCCTCGAAATGCGCTGACCATTGTTTGTGTTGCTTATTTCATTGGCGCTATCCTTGAGCTGTACTTCGATAGGGTAGTGATCACTGACCTCCCCGGCCTGAAAACAGCATGACGGATTTTAAGGATTGTTTAAAAATAAAAATCATAATTTGTCACATTTTATTTACCTGCAGCAGTTAACTTCATTTATCAAAATTTTAGGAAGCATATATTCATATAAGGCGACATCAAAAGCGATAAAGCACAGGTGCTGCTTGCTATCCCCCCTCCCGAAGGATTGTCATGCGAGTACTAAAACTGTGTATAACCATACAATCGTTCGCATATGCGAAACAGTTCTTGTTGTGTCGATCAGTGAGAGCTTTAATATCGAGAACCTTGTTGACTTGGCAACCGAGCTCGTCACCAATTGTAAACATTTCTAATTTGTATGCACTCTGTCATTTTAACTCTAACGTTTAGAGAAAAGTTTCATGACTATTAACTGAATTTCTACTTAGCGAGATTTTCAAACGATTTATTATATTTCGAACCAGTATCGATTTTTAAATCAGGGTCAATGTTTATAAAGGGTTTATGTGAATAGAGCTTACCAAAGAATCACTGAGACCATATTCGTTATCGAACAGGAAGACACTGGCGCTCCCGGGAACCACAGCAGATAAGAAATCGCTTCCGGTCAAGATGAACCTGGAATGATACAGATACAATGTCAAATCCAACTATGAGATTTACATACAGACATGTGGTCCCCTAACCTACACAGAAAAGTGACTCCGTGATATATCCATTTGTGCCAGTACTTACATTTCTATACTTTTGATTAAATAATAATTTCTACAGAATTATAACGAAACCATGGCTAGGAACTGTCCTCCTATCTCGGCATGCCTACCTGTCGTAAGCACAGTCAGTCGAAGCTTTCACAGTTGTATCGACGTCATCATCAATCAGCCAATGAAATTCAGGGTCTGTCTTCAGTGTGACAGACGGCCAGTCTTTCTGGGGGACGTAAGTACAATCGGCATTCAGGTCCCCCATAATCATGACGTCATTGGTTTGGAACACAGTTTTCGCCTGGTCGAACACGTTTCTGAGTTCTATCAGTTCTTCTACGGCGTTGTCCGGTTTGATGTGGAGTGCACCTAACACGAATTTGTTCAAACCTGTATTAAGTGGAAAACATATGTTATAATGACACAGCCCATTTTTTTCCATGTCCAATTGATGTCCCGTATCTCACACAGTGACGTTGCCAGAACTCCTTTTTGTCTGGAACGCATTGGCTGTAATGAAATAAAAATAGTTCTCAACATTTTAGCGCCGTTTTACAGTATAATAGTGCGTGATGTCACTTCCGTTCTCGAACTTGTTTAAATATTCGGGAAGAAAATTGAATATTGATACATGATATTCCTTTAGCATAAAATATAATATGTAAATTGAAACATGTGGCGCCCTCTTTTTTCAACATGTGGCGCCCTCTTTTTTCAATTTTAGTCAATTGCGATCTGTACACACCTTGAACTTTAGCCTGAAATTCCACTAGGAATGGTTCTCGCTCAAATTTAGTAATATTTCCACCTTCATCATAGATTTCCTCTCTGAGAACTTTGACTCGATCCGTCCTGTGACAAAAATAACAATTGTTTTTCATATCTCACTATAGCAAGGAAAAAAGAGAAGGTTATTTCTTAATTCATAGTTCTTCCCGTTTTTCTATACCATTCACGTCGGCTCTGACAATACTGCACACCGTCACCCGGCGTGTTCGCATTACCATACCGAATACCTAGTATTACATGTATGGATTTAGCCTGTTTTCTTCACATACAAAAATCAGTCACTGCATGATGAATGTAACAGACTTAGGTTCACACCAGCATGAACGTTAAGAAAAACCGGTAAATACATATACCAATTAAAAACTATTCAAATGTTGAAATACATGATCACCAGGCATTGTGTTCTTTAAAAAACAATGTTTCTTACTGTATCTTATTTTTGTTTATATTCAATCCCCCCACGCACACACACAAACACACACACCTACACAAAAATCAAGACATTTAAGTTTCAAATTTTATGGGTTAAAAAACATGTATGCTCATCATTTTTGTAATTTGTGTGATTTAGCCTTTATTTATGTAACTGTTGTATAGTTAAAATGTAACCTGGGCTGACCATGCTGGTAGGGCTCTCCCCCACCGCTGGAAAGCTCGGGTCATTGTTTCATTTAGAGCTGTTTCTGTGATAATAGTGGATTTAAAATGTACATGTAAAATTATCTTACCAATTAATTATTCATAGTACTATTTTATCATTGTTGTATATAATGTACATTTTTTAATATGCTTGACCATATGGGAGACGAGTCTTTGACTCAATATGTAATCAAGTTTAAATAAAGACTATTATTATGATTATTATTTAAATTGGACATTCGAAGAACTGAAGCAAAATCTGTATTATAATTGTCTCTCTGAGTCGTCATTATAAATTCGTACCTGTACAAAAAGCAGTACTGTTCCTTGGAGACCGAGTTGCCGAGGCGTCCACTTATACTTATATCGTAGTAGACTTTGTCCGAAACACTAGAATGGTAAAAAATGTAAAAAAAAATATATATATATATACTTCTTATACATACCATGTATACCATAAATAAAATTGTATTTCGGGATTGTAATATTTTAGTGTTAATTACTGAGACTATTTTGTTTATTTGAAGTCTTTGAAATATCTACGCTAAAGTAACGACGGTGGCCAAAGTCGAAGGAAGCACTCAGTGGCCATTTGTTGAAGTGAAATGGAATGTCATAGTCTCTGTGTCCTATAGACAGTGAAGCATTAATATCGTCTGCCGTCCGAGTTTTCTGATAAAAATATTTAGGTGGACGTGGCTGAAAAGGAAGCGTAAGTTATAGATAAAAGAAAACGGTGAAAACTTGTCCATGTATATCGAGTATAGTTTAGGGACAGCAGATAATTAACTAGCCCCTCAACGTCTTCAATCAGAACGTACAGGAGAAAAACTAGGTTTTTTATGGAAAAATATTTCATATGTTTCAGCAAATATGACAAAAGCATTGATATTTTCGTGTCCGTTCATAGTACAGAAATTTAATCCCGAAACGGAAAATTACACTGGAACACTAGAACAAGAAGAAAATGCAAAACTGTAAACAGAATTGGTGGCCATTTCTTCGATATTGTAAAATCAGACCAAGTACTAGTCAACAAAACAAGCCAATACATGTATTTCTTTTTATTTCCGTTTCGATCACGGTCTTAACGGAAAACTTTGGTATACCGCCACCATTAGTCAAGCAATATTGCCGAAAGTCATTATAAAGGGGGCTGTCGATATAGTGAACGAGGCATACAAATGAGTTGTTAGTAAAGGGGATGGGGTGATGGTAGGGTGGGGCTGGAGGGGGCACAACACATGTTGGCAGTAAGTTGCAATAGGTCGAGGGTGATGATATCGAGGTGCCACTGTATTGATATGTGACCATCGCTTGTTAAAGCGCTGCTGATGTCATTTCTCGGGAAACAAATACTAGTGTAACAGGAAAGAGGGTAGTGTGATTCCACCGGGGATCGAACCCGGGATCCCGGACTTCCTAGTCGGGCGCTCTACCACTAAGCTAAATGGGAAATTCCCTCTGGCTCGAAGCTAGAAGGTGACTTGTCATCCTATATACAATCAAAATCCGCCACACTAGTATACGTACTTGTTAACCTGCTGTTGTAGCTTCAGGATCGCCGTCCCGGCCTTGTCCCGTATTTCTTGTATCAGGATGATATCGTATCTTAGGACGATCTGGATATAAAAACATATTTATTACCGGCATGTTATCCATGTGAGATATTAAAATGGGTCATACGGAAATGATATAAGAAATACCGATATGACGTAATAATCAGGCTGAATAGCGTAGACATGATAAGCATTGTATCAGTTTTTACATTTCATCATGGGTCGCTTTCGTTTATCGCGACCCAAACGGTTGAACCGGTAGGATCAGACTTATTCGTTAATGAGATCAGGTCGGACCTATACTCTGATGCTGCTTTCAGGCGAGCCTTGACAAAACATTGCAAAGCCTGCATAAACATTGGCAGGACCGCCAGGATTTATACCCGAAATTGTTACTTTGTTGCAGACAAACCGGTTGTTCCGCATAAACGAACAGGCCCATGGTGTTCGCGTATGACTTCCTCAAAGCACGGTACATGATGTACTAGAATCTATATCTAAAACGACGGGTTGAAAATGTCTATTTTTCTCTATTAAATATAAACATTTTACATCAAAATAACTGTTTAGTTTCTTGTCTTTTTGGTCGATACGATAAGAAATTCAGACTAGAAATAGATCCCCGTGACACTCAATTACCCGACCCTGGACCCTCTCCGTACTACACTTACCTTTGTCAGAATATCCATTACGTCCGCTTTATTGGACTTGCTCTGTCCGAATACCTTTACATTAAACGCGCTAATCCGGAGGCCTGCCACTCCCGCCGGAAAACAGAATGTCCAGAACATGGACCATGCCCACAGCCAAGCTCTCATGTTAGGTGGCGTTTAGTCCCTTCCTACCTCGATCAAGGCTCACAACCGGACGGATTGCTAGGTGTTCTCTTCCTATATAATGAACGACAGCGTTTTATTTCCTTGTAAAGATCTGTCAAGATACTATAATACATTTACGTCATGGGGATATTTCTTTGATAAGTCACTTACACACTCCTTATATCTTAACGTAAATCAAGTGACACATCTTCTGTGATTAGTTCGCATCACTGATCAACTGTATACAGGTAAATGTGCTGTTAAAAATAGAATAGAAAAAGTCGCTACAAAAGATACCAGAGCTATCACGTCATTTAAATCGACATTTCTTCCGTTAACGTTTTCAAATATCTGACCATTCGCTTAACAATAAGCATTAAGGCTAGCCCAGGTTTCCTCTGGGCCTGACACCAGACTTCGACATTTTGACAGATAGATGCACAGACATTTATCTGTCAAAATGTCGAAGTCTGGTGTCAGGGCCAGAGGGAACTCTGGCTACATTATAGCAAGATACCAATTATAACCAAGTTATTGGAAACATATCACATGAGCCGAAACGGCCGAGTTATGGTACGCTTCCGCAAATCAGACGATGAATAAGAACTGATAAAATCGTCTTAAAAGACTGGTACACGTGAAAAAACACCTTTCTTTATCATAAGTTTACAAAAGTGATCGTATTAAAATATCATCGGTGTTCTTCTAGTCCTGAAGTTCACCTCGACCGTTGGCTGTGATTAATTTCCTGTCAGTATCATGTAAAATTCAATATTAGACTTCTGAAACATATAACATGTGTCATGTTCACCAGTATGCTCCACGGCACAAGTAACCGTGATGTCTTCTGGTAAATCGATGATATTTAATCGCGTTTTAATTAAATAGCTGCGAGCAAAAGAAAGGAAGGTAAATCTTCGGCATTTTATAGGATTATCATGGGGAATCGATTTCTTGAACTTGTGTCAGTCAATCGTCTTTGTCGCTCGCAGTTTGAATTATATATTCCGACACATATATAGTAATCAATACTGGTTTATTGTAACAGTACCATCCTCCTATCTAGTCTAGTATCAATCCCGTACACGTAATTCTTTACCTCAGTTGTGTTAGAAAGGTCGAGGTATACACTGTTTATAACCAGTCGATATAGCGTATTTCTATAAGTATTTAATTGATTCACGATCGTGATTTTGAATACATGTATTATGTATGTACACTGAAGTCGACGCTGTAGTTGTTTTTTTCTGAAGAGAAATCTTGTTTGGTCGTTATTTTCTTGGTTTCTTGTACAATCGATATAAACCAATCCTATCCCATCTATCAGCCTGTCCCGGTTGCTACTCAAAGCTTAATATTGTTTAGAGTAAACCAGTGGTTAGAGGAAAAGTATACGAACACAGGAAAATCTTATAGCATGTTGCTGAGCTATCTAAGTCCGTGGCTTTATAGATTTGTTAAGACAAATTTGATTGACATTTTTGAAGATAAACTTTGATTTGTACGCTCTTGTCTCGTATCAGCAATAGTTTGAAATTTTCACTAACCACTGGTTAAAGTTAATCAACCTTTGATCAACTAAGAGACTTGTATACTTCTGGTTAAACTTCACTAACCACTGGTTAAAGTTAATCAACCGTTGATCATATAAGGGACGTGACTTCTTCTGGTTAAACTTCACTAACCCCTGGTTAAAGTTAATCAACCTTTGATCAACTAAGAGACTTGTATACTTCTGGTTAAACTTCACTAACCACTGGTTAAAGTTAATCAACCATTGGTCAACTCAGGGACGTGAATACTTCTGGTTAAACTTCACTAACCACTGGTTAAAGTTAATCAACCTTCGATCATCTAAGGGACGTGAATACTTCTGGTTAAACTTCACTAACCACTGATGAAAGTTAATCAACCTTTGGTCAACTAAAGGACGTGAATATTTCTGGTAAAAGTTAATCAACCTTTGATCAACTAAGAGACGTGTATACTTCTGGTTTGATACGTCTCGGAGTAACTTGGACCTTCCTCCATAAAACTAACATATACTATTTATATATTATTTCAGTACTGTAAGCAATCTGAAATTAGAGGTTTGTACAAGACTCGATTGGGCGTTTGTGTTCATATCAAACCAAACGTTTCTCCCGTTAACAACATACAAAAAGATGGCAACAAACATATCTGGTTTAGAAACGGCTAATTATAAGCCAGAAATATAGACGGATTCACATAATAGTAACCGATCGGTTCAGGGGAGCTAACCCAAATAGTATGTAGCAAAATTTATAGTCGAGGTAACATACAAGTCGAAATGAAAATAACAGAGAAACGTATTTACCTTTTGTCGATGCTGGAATATGTTTTGTGTTTCCTGTAGTCCCATGTCGCTCATGATGTACTTCCTTCACATTAAATATTTACTAGGAAACGTTTACTTCCGGGGTCCGGAAATCCTCGTTTATATTACCTAGCACGGACTTAGATAACCCGTGATATTAGTAGGGTGATCAGGATACTTGTTATTGTAACACAAGTTGCATATTTTCTCAGAAATCAGGTCAGCAGTGTTTCTTGTTGTGCTTTCGTTAAACCAAGCACCCTACACACCCCTTTCAGTAAAACACGTATACCTGAGATGACGCGAATGAGTTATTGTCGATGACTAAGGAAGGTGGGCGTTTGTCTTGTTGCCCTATAGCTAACGTTAATTGTTAAACTTTCCATGGTTTTTATATAAATATATTGTGAAGGCGATTTTTTTTTTATTTTTGCAAATTAAAATACTTCTCGTCCAATTAAAAACACATTTTATTAACAAAACAATAAAATATAAAAGAAATCCGGACTCTAATTACCAGCTGCAGTTGTTGATTTTAGTTTTAGTTTAAAAATCGTATTTCCGCTTTCGTTTCTGTGTGTCAACATTGCAAAACAAACTGTCACTAAACGGTGTTTCGTCCGTTTTGAGACTTGCACAACTAACGGTGATCATGGGGAACTGTTGTGGAAAAAGAAAAGACTACAAACATGTTAAAACAGACGAGACTGAGGTCGCAGATCTCGAAAACATGGAACAATCGCAGTCTGTTAGCCCACAACAGAGATTGGAGTTCGTCATTGAGGAAGAACTTGTCAACGAGGTAACATCACCAGGAACGCAACTTGCTGTTTTTCTTATACTGTTCAGTGTTGGAAAGTGTGGTATAAGATGTTTAAACGATTCCATACCCATATAATTTAATTCAAATAAAACATAGTTTGTCTAAAACAATCAGCCGATAAAATACATAGTATCAATATGTAACAGAGTCGAGGACATTATGTTTTTCAAGCCTCCGCCAGGAGTCGAACACGGGACCTCTGGTTTACTAGTCTTACACTCTACCGAATGATCTAAAGAGAAATTCTCGAGTATTTTATCAGGATGATTTTTTCCCCAGTGCAATATTTAATTTAGCCAGAGTTTCCTCTGGCCCTAAAACCAGACTGAGCCACTTTAACTGATCGATACGCCCACACCAGACAGCTATCTGTCAAAATGTGTAAGTCTGGTGTCATGGCCAGAGGAAACTCGGGCTATATGAAATTATATAACAGGTACTGGAGCACCAGTAATTTGACTAGATTTGGCTATATAGTCGAATATGACTAAATGTATATTGGACAAATGTAAACAAACAACCCCTTACTCGTAATATTTATCTCTGCGCTCTGATTGTGTCGTTGGAGTTTGGCTCATGATATATTTTCCTTACTTTTGCCACTTTGGTGGTTGACATCTCCTACCAGATCTCCTAGGAACGGGCACGGGTTTCCCAGGACTTTTCGGCATTACTCGTTGCCGCCCCACGTTGGGCGCCATTTGTTACAGTGCTATCTTCGTGTATAAAATCCACAAAACACTGTTGGGTTCTTTTATGACTTTTATTCTGTAGTTTAAAAAACCCTGCAAGTACAAATACAACACATTACACATTCACTCAATACTCTCACATAGTCTATTTACATCAAGGGACATAACTTGTACATATACTTCAATTATCGGAGTAATGCATAATAGTACATTAGAATACATACGTTTTTGATTCGCTCCATGTAAAAATATAATATTAGATTTACAATGTACATATCAATAATACCGAATTTACTTTTACATATCAATATACAATAGATATGAAATTACCTTATACTATTATATACAAAATATCTCTAAATATAGAATAATGCACATCAAACTTACCCCACAGATCCTGCGGGCGTTTACAGAAATCCCTTTGTCTAATAATCAACGTACGACCGGCAGTTGTTACGTATGTAGACTGGATGTATATTTAAACCTAGGGTCACCCAGTACATGGGCTTTGCCACATGTATGTGAGCATGTTATGTCACACCTGAGTGAAAGAACGTATATCTGAGGTTCTGCATGCAGGTCGTTCTATATGAACGACGCATGCGCAACCACTTTACCTCACACAGCACAAACCCTTACCCAGTCACTCCGAGCTGAACAGCAGATCATGCTAGATGAAGCAATAATCTGCCAAGGACTTACCACCCGGACGAGGCCCTGGTAAGACAGACTAACTATAAATTCTAGTATAATATATATAATATATATCCATTTATTAAGTTCATAATGAACAATTGATTACCATCTTTGTACATTATTACAGATTATCAATAGAAGTGACTATTGTGTAAATATATATTTTACAGGTTCTCTCTTCCGAGAGACATGAATGACCATTCTCAAACAACGGAGGACTTGTGTGTTTTAACACGCCGAAGGTCTTACACGTATACCAAGTGTTAAACATGTCATACTGAAATAAATAAATACCTTATAAAACAATACTAATTACTACACTTTATAATTTGGAATACAGAAATTATATACATCTGGGAAAACTGAAAACTTACTCTTTATTCATTTCTTTACATTTAATCAGAATATTATGATTAAATACATTTGTTGTGAAATAATAATTTAAACATTACATTTTACCAATATTCTGATAATACCTTACAGAATATACATATAAATGATAATAATAGAACATATATGGTTAAAATCTCACCCAGTTCTCTATATTTGTAATACTTCAAATCTCTTCTGATATCAAAAGTAGATCTATACCCTTCAACGCCATGGTGCTGAGTGATATAAGTTAAGTTAAAAATCATGCAGTTGTTAGCTATGACCAATAAAAATGTCCGTTGATGTCATGTGACTAAAAGTACTCACATTCCACACATTCTTACATACATGTACAGGTAACACACAAACATTAAGGATCCTCGCACCACATTCTTTCATCACACAACTATACTATCAAACAACCATTTAAGGTTCCTTACACCAAGACCTTTCATGATATTAATATCCATTCAAAGTCTTACACACAATAAATATATATATCCCTGTTACATAAAGTATAACATATGTCTATTCAATCTGGCATCAATGTCTTCCCAAAGATAAGCATCCTGAAGATGCTGCTTTGCGCCTTAGGTGTCCTTTTGGAAGATACTTCTGATAGGAATGATAACATGCAGTAAAAATTGTTCATGTATTGCTGTTTTGGTTAAGAAATTGTTAATATTCCTGTCTAACCATCAGTTACAGAGGATAAAAGATGCAACTTGCAAGTACCAAAAATTGCATCCATGAAAATCAACAGTCACCAGAAATTGAGTTTTTTTTATAAAAATCTTTCGTTTCACTGACTCACCTGTTTGTCCACCAATTTTTTTAATGTGCTTCAGGAAATTGCGACTACAATTGACTTGTTTGTCCTATATACAAAGAGTCATATTTGACCATATCGCCAGATTTGCAGGTCATCCAGTACCTGATATAAGTTAATACTGTTGGTGCATGTGTGTTTATGTCGGTCTGTTCCATTAAACAATTTTGTGTAGTTTCATTGTTTCTCGTTTAATAGGACACTGTACATCTGGAGCCTCCTGCCCTACTGAAAACTGAACATATTCCTGATCCCGATGACACAACAGATTTCCCTTTTTTCCGTGACCAAAAAACCATCAATCATATTCAGAAATCTCAGACAATGTTTATAATGAGAGGACCCTCAGGATGTGGAAAGTCAAGTTTGGTGCGTAAGATAGAATCTATTTACAGATCAGCAGTTGTGTGTTCAGCCGATGACTACTTTATGGGCGAGGATGGCCAGTACGAGTTTGATAGCAGTCATCTATCTTACGCCCACAAGGACTGTCAAGATAAGGCGAAGGCAGCATGTAGCCATGGCAACAGGGTTGTTGTCATTGACAACACTAACATAAAACGATGGGAAATGAAACCCTATATAGAAACGGCGAAGACACACCAGTATGTTGTGATAATGTTAGAGCCAAGGACAAAGTGGCGTTACGATGCAGAAGAGTTAGCCAAGCGGAACAGTCATGGTGTAAAAGCAGACGATATAAGGAAGAAAATAAAGGATTTCCAGGAATGTGCACCGTACTATTTTGGATGGTTTTTGACAGTTAGTGACTCCCTCCACTTGAAAGATATAGCGAAGGACTGCTTGATAGAATGTGTGAAAAATTATCCAGACATTAGAGACAAAATGTTCCCAAAGATAGAATCACTCGCAGGTAAGTCATTAGCCCAACACAAGAGTTTGTGATGGCTGAACAGGTCATTGAATTTCATCATGGTCCAAAACATTATACCTGCAGGTAGTCCCAATTATGTTCAACATTCTCGTGTATGACAGTGAAGTTACAGTGAAAAGTCATTATCAGGTATTGATTAATGAATATTTCTAACTAATCTTGTACAGATACTGCTGGAGGGGACTTTAGATTTGCACTATGTCTGTGTCAGCAATTTGTCTGCAGCATATCTCATATATATATTACCTATGTCAAATTTTGTATGTGAGTTACTCCTGAAATATTGTAGTGTTACATACTTATGTACTGAAATTTGGTTGTGTTCCCAATTTTATACAGTGTTATAGCCCTTTGTTCAATTTTGATACTAAAGTTTGTTCAGAAGTGGGGAGTCTGAATTACTTTGCCTTGTGTTGATACCTGTCATAAATTTTATTAGTCCACAGGTCATAACACCCCACTGAATGATATAATAAAATCAAGATCTCCACATTGACACTTGATTGAATATACTTTTATGTTACTTGGAATGTTCACGTTGAAATATTCACTCTCAAATGTTCAATTGGGAGTTTAAATCTTTTAACTGAAATCTTTTTTCAATATTAATTTAAAAAACCTTGAAATATTGAAAATGAATGTTTCAACATTTTTCACATCGTAATTAGGTATTGTTGTTTCACATCGTAATTAGGTGTTGTTGTTTCACATCGTAATTAGGTATTGTTGTTTCACATCGTAATTAGGTATTGTTGTTTTAACATCGTAATTAGGTGTTGTTGTTTCACATCGTAATTAGGTATTGTTGTTTCACATCGTAATTAGGTATTGTTGTTTCACATCGTAGTTAGGTATTGTTGTATAACATGGAAATGCATTGTTACTTATTTGCTTATTAATATTGGAATATCTTCACGTTGAAATCCTAACATTTCAGACTTGACTGAGGAGATGGTCTACCAGTACTTCAGCTTAGATGGTACAGAGACACCGCGTCTGTTACACTGTACTGCAAAGTTCATTGGAAATCCTAAAAACCCTGTCCCACGACGGGCCGAATATCTACAACGGGAAGATGTTAAAGCTGCAGGTGGTAAAGTGTTCGAGCTTACAATTACCGGAATCACAGTTTCGCCACGTACAATAGGGGCAAGGGTCGTTCTCACAACCGCACAGTGTAAACTCTTTGATAAACCAGAGGAGGAAGAACGGGACAAGATTTTGACAAGGTCATCCTCAACCAACAGAGTTAATTCCCTTGGACCGGAAACGATCACGAATATCCCCGAACGGGGGAGGAGTGCGCACATAACCATTGCTGCTGCCGATGGTGTTAAAAACGTCCAGACTACATTTGACCTTCTTGATATCTGTGACCTGGAGTGGAAAAATTTAATGGAGGTGAAAAATATGGAGAGTATACAGTTTAAAAGTGGTAGTATGCGGCACATTGGGGGTGATTTTTGTGAAGTTAATCTCTCAAGTCCGATCAGAGTGTGCACATTGTTCTCAGGATTTTATTAAGAAATTTCATACGTTGTTTTTCTGTGTGTGTCTGTGTGATGAGTATTGAGTGTGTGAATCGAATTAGAACCCCACTATAAAGCTAGCAGTCTTATGTATATGTCACTCAAAAATAAATTATTCTTTGCTTTGGAAACCTCAATGTTTTTTCCAAGAAATATTTTCAAAACTTTTGAATTTTTACGTGAGGCTGATCTTTTTTGCCATTGTTGACAATACATTGTATATCTTTTTTAAAAATCCATTAACTAAAGAAAAAAATCCCCACATATAAAGACCTGTTTCATTATATAATTTGTGTAATATCCAAATGGCAACTATTAAACATTCCTGTATCACACACTGTTTTATTTGGCTTGAATCATCCTTTGGAAAATTTAATTAATGTTGTATGAAGAAAGGGTGTCAATAGCCTGTAAGGGTAGAGGTGTGGGTCCCAATCGGAGAATGTGGGTTAATATATAAAATCCTATAAAGGGATTTGAACCTCAATTCGTCTGGAACAATCATAGTGATGTACATTAATTAGTTTGTTGTACAAATTCGGGACTGCCGGTTACTTTATACAATTGATTTTAGTCAATCAAAATCCCCCCCCCCCCATTTCAGCAATTCAGTTTTATTTAAAAAAAATAGAACAATTAAAATGTTTAAAAAAAGGTCCAGCACTGATAATCCACATTAAAAACTACAGTGTTTGGAGAGTAACACCCGAGAGTTGGACGAATATTTGGATGTGATACGGAATTTGAGAGTTGAAGTCACGGCCTTTGTTTGTTTTGCTATGTGTTGTTAATGCCTTTATAAATAAGTGCAGTGTATTATTAAGGACTCATATCATCACTTAATTATGTCTCCCCTTCGAATGAAGGGAGAAATATTGTATTAGTACTGGTTCTTCTAATCACAAGTTGTCCAGGCCATAACTTTTAAACCGTTAAAGATATCTTGATAAAACTTGAGGTATGCATGCATCACACACAGAAGGTGTGCAGTGCACTGAAATTAGGTCACAGTGATCTTCATCTCAAGGTCAAAGGTCAAGTAAGTGCAACATTTCAGTAAGTTCTTGTCCAGCCCTTAAATTTGCAACTGTTAAAAATATCTTGATCAAACTTGAAGTATACCTGCATCACCCACAGAAGGTGTGCAGTGCACTGGAATTAGGTCTCGTGCCCCATTATATGCAGAGTTATGGCCTTTTGTTTATTTTTTTATACCAAAGTTTGTCCGGAGCATACGTTCCATGTTATGTCATCTACGTTGACCAAACTTACCATATTAATTATCTTGGGAAGACAGAATCAGGTTTTGTGCCCCATTATATACAGAATAATGTCCCTTTGTTTATTTTTTATATCGAAGTTTGTCCATGGCATAACTTCTAAACTGTTAAAGATATCTTAATAAAAATTAACGTGTACCTGCATCACCCACAGAAAGTGTGCAGTGCACTAGAATTAGGTCTAGTGCCCCACTATATACAGAGTTATGACCCTTTGTTTATTTTTAATACCGAAGTTTGTCCAAAGCATAAGTTCCATGTTATTTCACCCACGTTGACCAAACTTACCTTATTTTAATTAATGTATCTTGGGAAGGCGGAATCTCTTGTACTAAAATCAGGTCTTGTACCCCTCTATATATACAGTTATGGCCCTTTATTTATTTTTTATATCTTAGTTTGTCCACGGCATAACTTCCATGTTATTTCACCTACGTTGACCAAACTGGCTATAGTTATGTATCTTGTGAAGTAGGAGTGTCTCATTCTAAATTCAGGTCTTGTGCCCCACTATATAAAGAGATATACGGCCCTTTGTTAATTGTTTATACCGAAGTTTGTCTATTGGCTAATAAGGGGAGACATATTCACAAAAACAAGTTTCTAGTAAATCATAAATTACTTGATTGTGTTTGTGAGGAAGAATGTTTCAGGAGATATTATGTGTTCATTGGTTGATATATATCATGTTTTACTGTTCTGTCGTTGATACAGTGTATATATTACGCACAATGTATTACTGGTCTGTCGTTGATCCAGTGTATATATTACGTACAATGTATTCCTGTTCTGTCATTGATACAGTGTATATGTTACGTACAATGTATTACTGTTCTGTCTTTGATACAGTGTATACATTATGTACAATGTATTACTGGTCTGTCGTTGATCCAGTGTATATATTATGTACAATGTATTACTGTTCTGTCGTTGTTACAGTGTATATATTACGTACAATGTATGACTTATTACTGTTCTGTCGTTGATACAGTGAATATATTACGTACAATGTATTACTGTTCGGTCGTTGATACAGTGTATATATTACGTTCAATGTATTACTGTTCTGTCGTTGATACAGTGAATATATTACGTACAATGTATTACTGTTCGGTCGTTGATACAGTGTATATATTACGTATAAGGTATTACTGTTCTGTTGTTGATACAGTGTATATATTACGTACATTGTATTACTGTTCTGTCGTTGATCCAGTGTATATATTATGTACAATGTATTACTGGTCTGTCGTTGATCCAGTGTATATATTATGTACAATGTATTACTGTTCTGTCGTTGACACAGTGTATATATTACGTACAATGTATAACTGTTCTGTCGTTGATACAGTGTATATATTAAGTACAATGTATTACTGTTCTGTCGTTGTTACAGTGTATATATTACGTACAATGTAATACTGTTCTGTCGTTGATACAGTGTATCCATTATGTACAATGTATTACTGGTCTGTCGGTGATACAGTGTATATATTACGTACAATGAATTACTGTTCTGTCGTTGATACAGTGTATCCATTATGTACAATGTATTACTGGTCTGTCGGTGATACAGTGTATATATTATGTACAATGTATTACTGGTCTGTCGTTGATCCAGTGTATATATTATGTACAATGTATTACTGTTCTGTCGTTGATCCAGTGTATATATTATGTACAATGTATTACTGGTCTGTCGTTGATCCAGTGTATATATTACGTATAATGTATTACTGTTCTGGTGTTGATACAGTGTATATATTACGTACAATGAATTACTGTTCTGTCGTTGATACAGTGTATATAGTACGTACAATGTATTACTGTTCTGTCATTGATACAGCGTATATATTACGTACAATGTATTACTGGTCTGTCGGTGATACAGTGTATATATTACGTACAATGTATAACTGTTCTGTCGTTGATACAGTGTATATCTTACGTACAATGTATTACTGTTCTGTCAGTGATTATGTATTATGCATTATTACGTACAATGTATTACTGTTCTGCCGTTGATACAGTGTATATATTACGTATAATGTATTTCTGTTCTGTTGTTGATACAGTGTATATATTACATACAATGTATTACTGTTCTGTCGTTGACACAGTGTATATATTACGTACAATGTATTGCTGGTCTGTCGTTGATACAGTGTATATATTGCGTACAATGTATTACTGTTCTGTCGTTGACACAGTGTATATATTACGTACAATGTATAACTGTTCTGTCGTTGATACAGTGTATATCTTACGTACAATGTATTACTGTTCTGTCGTCGATACAGTGTATATATTACTTACAATGTATTACTGTTCTGTCGTTGACACAGTGTATATATTACGTACAATGTATTATTGTTCTGTCGTTGATACAGTGTATATAGTACGTACAATGTATTACTGGTCTGTCGTTGATACAGGGTATATATTACGTACAATGTATTACTGGTCTGTCGTTTATACAGTGTATATATTACGTACAATGTCTTACTGTTCTGTCGTTGATACAGTGTATACATTATGTACAATGTATTACTGGTCTGTCGGTGATACAGTGTATATATTACGTACAATGAATTACTGTTCTGTCGTTGATACAGTGTATCCATTATGTACAATGTATTACTGGTCTGTCGGTGATACAGTGTATATATTACGTACAATGCATTACTGTTCTGTCGTTGATACAGTGTATATCTTACGTACAATGTATTACTGTTCTGTCCTTGATACAGTGTATATATTACGTACAAGGTATTACTGTTCTGTCGGTGATACAGTGTATATATTATGTACAATGTATTACTGGTCTGTCGTTGATCCAGTGTATATATTACGTACAATGTATTGCTGGTCTGTCGTTGATACAGTGTATATATTACGAACAATGTATTACTGGTCTGTCGTTGATACCGTGTATATATTACGTACAATGAATTACTGTTCTGTCGTTGATACAGTGTATCCATTATGTACAATGTATTACTGGTCTGTCGGTGATACAGTGTATATATTATGTACAATGTATTACTGGTCTGTCGGTGATACAGTGTATATATTACGTACAATGTTTTACTGTTCTGTCGTTGATACAGTGTATATAGTACGTACAATGTATTACTGTTCTGTCAGTGATTATGTATTATGCTTTACTATATTTGACTGCAAATGATACCCTCTGGGAATTAATCCTGTTATATATTACGTACAATGTATTACTGTGCTGTCAGTGATTATGTATTATGCATTACTATATTTGACTGCAAATGATACCCTCTGGGAATTAATCCTGTTATATATTACGTACAATGTATTACTGTTCGGTCGTTGATACAGTGTATATATTACGTGCAATGTATTACTGTTCTGTCGTTGATACAGTGTATATATTACGTATAATGTATTACTGTTCTGTTGTTGATACAGTGTATATATTACGTACAATGTATGACTGTTCTGTCATTGATACAGTGTATATATTACGTACAATGTATTACTGTTCTGTCAGTGATTATGTATTATGCATTACTATATTTGACTGCAAATGATACCCTCTGGGAATTAATCCTGTGTTGTAATATCAAATGTATGCTTGTGTATCTTCATTGCAGCTAATGATAAGTATGAACCATAAATCTGTGTGTCCTGTGACTGTGTATCTGTGTATCTGGTAACCGTACATCTGTGTATCTGGTGACCGTGAATCTAAATATCTGGTGACCATTAATCTGTGTATCTGGTGACCATAAATCTGTGTATCTGGTGACCATCTGGTGACAGTAAATCTGTGTATCTGGTGACCATTAATCTGTGTATCTGGTGACCGTGAATCTATGTATCTGGTGAC